ATGCCAATGCCCTTCACCATGCGGAGTGCAAAGGGCACCTTGCGCTTGCCCTCCACATTGGTGTTTAGGAGACGCACAATGTGCTGGAAGTTATCGGCCTGTAGGGTGAGAGACATGTCTTCAGTCTTCCTAACACAGAGGAGAAAGAAAAAGAAAAAGAACCCCCCCCCCCCAAAAAAAAAAAAAAATAAATAAAAAAATAAAAAAAACTAAAAGCATATATGCACCACATAAAAGAAAAGTAAAAAATGAGATAAACCATCCAGCCAGAAATGGCCAAAAACAAACAAAGCGAAAAAGTGCGAACCAAACGCTGCTTTAAGAAAATAAAACCAAAAAAATGAGGTAAACAGGAACAAACTCTTCATTGGCAACGAACACCCATGAAATAATACGGACCAATTATTTTGTGCGGGACACACCGACCGTCTTGCCGTGTCGTCCTGACGTGCAAGTGTGCTGACCACGGACGCGGAGACCGTAGGCGTGACGCACACCGCGATGCACGCGATGCTTCCGCAGACGCTCCAGATCCTCACGGAGACGTGTGTCAACCATGGCACTGGTGAGATGCTCCGTCTTGCCCGTCTTGGGGTCACGCTGGCGGTTGAGGAACCAGTCGGGGATCTTAAACTTGGACGGTTCGGCGATGACAGCGGAGACCTTCTCGAGCTCCTCGGCCGTCAGTGTGCCGGCGCGGCGCTCCACATCAATGCCTGCCTTCTTGCACACCATGTATGCAAAGCGAATGCCAATGCCCTTCACCATGCGGAGTGCAAAGGGCACCTTGCGCTTGCCCTCCACATTGGTGTTTAGGAGACGCACAATGTGCTGGAAGTTATCGGCCTGTAGGGTGAGAGACATGTCTTCAGTCTTCCTAACACAGAGGAGAAAGAAAAAGAAAAAGAAACCCCCCCCCCCCAAAAAAAAAAAAATAAACTAAAAAAATAAAAAAAATAAAGACAATAATAGACACCAACAATAAAAAGAAAAAGTAAAAAATA